CCAGGCCACTTGGGCTGTGCTTCATGTGCAAGTTGTCAAATTATATCAAATGGCAGGCACAACACGAAGCAAATCGCCTCCAAAGCTCCATCCAAATTGTCACTTTAGTGCACTTTTGTGTTCAGCTGTTACAGGGAGGCTTTTAAAAATCCTTTTCTGTATTTGTTGGTGTCGCTGGTTGAGACGCACCAAAAGGCTGGCGACCTGCCTTCTTCCTCTCGCTCCACACACGTCTGTCTCCAGCGCAACTGGCACACACAGCTCAAAGACTTCTCCAGCTTCTGAGGCTGGGCATCATGAACAAAACTCTATGCCCAGGAACGGCTGGAAAACACTGAGCTCGGGCTGGGAAGGCTTTGCTTTGCTTTGCAAATCAACTCAGCAGGGCTGGCTCAACCTGAAGGCAGGCATGTGCTTAAGTGGAGGGCGCTGTCAGGAGATTTCCATCCTTCCCAGGCTGGAAACCCGACAGGTAGTCGGACAGAATGCCAAAGGATCAGAGACCATGGAGACGCCAAGTTCCCAGACTCTTTAGAGAGAGCAGATTTGGCAGATTTTCCTCTGCATCCCTGAGGGGACCCCTCTGTTACACCACCCCGGCATCAAGAAGTATTACCTACATCCTATTTACCTGTGAAAATCCCTTTTTTTGCTGAGGAAAAACAAAGGTCTGTCCAACCTCCTGCAGATAGGTCCCATTTAGTGGCATGCTTCCTTTGACAGAAGGATTTTTAAAGGTGTTTAAAAGCATTAAATATCCGACACTCAGACAGCTTTCCAGAGTAATGTGCACCTGATTATTGCATTGAGAGTATTTGGAAATGCCAGCTGGGATTCCTTCCATGTTTCCTCTGCTGTGTTGTGCTGTGGAGTTATACTGTGCCATAATCCTTCCCATCCACACCCACAGATGTGGTCACATCCATCCCATGCTTACTGGCGTACAGAATGAATAGCTATGAGTTTTATTGACATTTTTCTACAGGGTGCAACTCATAACAAAAAGATGTCCAGACATCTGATTTAGTTGCAAATTTACCTCCGTCACACAGACCCTAGGCCTGCAATTATGAAATGTACTTACAAATACCAAATTTCTCCAGTACGGATACTAGGAACAATGGATCTTCCTTTTCTGTTAGAGCATTTTTTGAGCCCAAAGCAATAGAACTAGTCAGTAGCAAAACATTTGGATGGGAAACTGGGAATGAAGAAGAGGACAAAGGGAGGAGGCTTTTAATTTCATTTAATGAGGTCTACAAATACTTGCAGTGTCAGAAGATGAAGCAACATCATCTACATCTGGAGGAGAAAAGGAAATGGTTGTAGTTCCATTTTCAAATCCTAAAGCTTATGAAGTGACAAATGGTGTTTATCCTATCCGGAAAAAATGTTATTCTTAATTGTAATACTGTCACTGCTGCCAGCGCTCACAGCTTCAGTGTATGTCTCTTTTGTCTCTTGACAAACGGTGTCTTTTCAAGCCCTGATTTGATTATATAGGAATTTCAACAATGCTTTTTTTTTTTTTTTCTTCTTTTCCTTAAGTTTGAAAGTACATACCAGAGCAGAACCTGAAGGTTGAAAAAGTGGAAGACCAAGAATTCACTACATATTGGCTTTTTAAAAATCTAATATTTTTAAGAAAGTGCGATCATTTCTTGTTTCTCTTTACCCAGTTAATAATGCCACACTCTGAAACAGGAAGGTACAATATACATGGACACAAACATACCTGTCGCTTCATTTGTCACCGGTTTCTTTCTGCAAAGAATATCACTTGGTTTTGCACTTATCATATTAGTGTGTGCAATCCTTGAATTTTTTACATATCTTCCGGACCGTTACATATACACAAGGTATAGGAATATGTGTGTGCTTTTGTTTGTTCATCTAGTTACATTTCCGGACCAGCCTGGGAAAATATGGGCCGTGATACCCCAAAGAGCTTTCATACCATAAGATTACAAGGAGAAACTTTATAAGAGACATCTAATAACATTTTTAAAAAAGCCAAAAGAAACTAAAAACAAACCAGTAACAACAAAAATTATATCTTGTCAGACACTATGCTTTCATATCAAGATACAGAAAAACTAGAAATGAAGAGAGCTTCCAGGAGATATTTGTCCGCTATTAAAGATTGATGGGAAGATCCAGGTGAATCCAGTGCTTAGCTGGAAGCAGTTGGTGCATGTATATTGTTGTGCATATTGTCACTGGACATCAGAGAGCACTAAAGTGAGCAGCTGCCCATCTCCCTAGTGTACTGAATATGCTGGGCACTCAGTCACGTCCACAGCAGCAGTCCAGAGGTTTTCCTTTTCAGAAGCAAGCGGACAGTGCATGAGCAGAAGCAGACCTTTCTGTCCCTGGGACAGCTACAGCCAGCTTTGTCCTGCCATGGTTGGCTTGACGGAAAGCTGTTGTAGGATGCAGGAGTGTCTGACTGTGGGGTTTTTGCTTGAAATAGACCTCAGTCCAGTCTGCATAAACACTTTAATGCTTAACCGCATAAAGGAGTTGTCAAAACAATGGTTTAACACGCTGGAATTGGAGTATTTCTTGTAAACATTAGGCTGACTTTGTTCCTTTGCATGTGGAGGAGCCTTGCCACGGAGGAATGCAGGGCTCGTGGTCAAACTCTGGGGAAATAAGGGCAGGCAGAGAGGGGTATGCTATGGGAGCAGGTTAACACCACCTGAGCCCCTGCTAGGTGGGGGTTAAGGGGGCTGGCGGGTGTCTGCGGGTGCTGAGGTCTGTCTGGGGGCTCCTCTGCAGCAACACAAAAACCTGTGGGATGCTTTTGACAGGTTGACTGCATTTTCTGCCCTTCGTTTCCTCACTGCCGGGCTGGAAACTATTGCTTGGTTTGAGGATGGATGGGACACCCCACGCCCTGCTTAAACAGCCATGCGCTGTGCAGGGGATGGGGCAGCCAGCTCCCTGCTGAGATTTCAAAAAAAGGCTTGGAGGTGGCTGTGTTTGACCAGCAGCTGCTCACCAGGTGAAGCCAGTCACAGCTACCACCAGAGCACAAGGGGTGTGGGACGCTGATGTGTGGGATTCAGACATCCAGTGGCGTTGGCAGGCCCTCAGTGCACACCAAAAATACCGAGACCAGCCAGGTATCCCCTGTCAAGTCACCTAGCTCTTGTTAGCCCTCTTCCCTGCCAGTGCTGGCAAGTGTAGAAGTGTGTGGGGCATGGCTGGTCACCCAGGGACTGCAGGGGATATTGTGCAAGGCATGGCCCCACTGCACGAGGCACCGTGTTCCCATCAGCAGGGATTTTTCTCCACACATTTGGGATATCAGCGTGGAAGAAGCAGCAGTTTCGTACAGATCAGGTTTCCTTCACTTTTACACCAGAATAGCAAAGCAAAAGCTCCCGAGAAGCTCCTGTTCCCACAAGAGCTCCGTAGTTCAGCACAAAGCACACCCACCCTTCTCTCTGGCCTCTCTCTTTGGGATGACTCACGCAGCTCTCTGCCTGCAGTCGCCTTCGATCCCTGCAGTGAGTCTGCTGTGATTCAGCCCTTCTCGTTTTGAACTCCCTGAGAGCATTCAGTCAATCCCAGCTTTCCGAGCTCGGAAACTAATGAAAATAACACCATGCAGTTTCCAGAGATGCTTGATACGCTTGATCCTTAGCCACCTTTCTGCTCTGAGCCGTGGTGCAGCTCCTCTGCAGGAACACCATTAACTCTCACGCTTGGTGGGACAGCAGGCGTGGGGCTGTCTGCCACTGTCTCCAGTGAATGGTTCATAGTCCGGCTGTGTGTGTTTTACCACATGCTGGGATGAAGTGGGGGACAAAAACCTGAATGTGACCTTGAAACGTGTGCTTGCAGCCCAGAAAGCCAGCCATAGCCTGGGCTGCACCAAAAGCGGCGTGGCCAGCAGGGCGAGGGAGGTGATTGTCCCCCTCTGCTCTGCTCTCGTGAGACCCCACCTGGAGCCCTGCGTTGAGCTCTGGGGCCCCCAACACAAGGAGGACATGAACTTGTTGGAGTGAGCCCAGAGGAGGGCTATGGGGATGCTCAGAGGGCTGGAGCCCCTCTCCTACACAGACAGGCTGAGGGAGCTGGGGTTGTTCGGCCTGGAGAGGAGAAGGCCCCGGGCAGAGCTTACAGCGGCCTGCCAGTGCCTAAAGGGGGCTGCAGGAAAGGTGGGGAGGGACTCTGTGTCAGGGGGTGTAGGGATAGGGCAAGGGGAATGCCTTTAAACTAAAAGAAAGTAGATCTAGGTTACATACTAAGAATAAATTCTTCACTGTGAGGGTGGTGAGGCCCTGGCACAGGCTGCCCAGAGAAGCTGTGGATGCCCCATCCCTGGAGGTGCTCAAGGCCAGGCTGGATGGGGCTTTGGGCAGCCTGGGCTGGTGAAAGACAGTGGGGTTGGAACTAGATGGTCCTAAAGGTCCCTTCCACCCCAAACCATTCCATGGTTCTTTGATACTATGAAAATACATGACATGGTACCTACTTGTAGTTGGGAATATGACTTTAGTGATCAGATGGCGTGAGGCTGTCACTGTTGGCCCAGAGAATCGTGGCTTTCCACCAAAGCAGGGTGCCCTGTCTGAAGCAGGAAGCTGCAAAATTAGGAAAGATAAAGGCTCAGCATTTCCAAAGATGCTCCGTGTGTGGAGCAGGTGTAGCAGAAACTCCTCTGCTTAGACCTGGAAATTTGAGAGAGGGCCATGTCTAGGGGCTCAAGGACAAGCTTGAGTGGAGAAATGATATAAAGGAGATCCTGAAAAAAAAAACAAACACAGCAACACCACTGGGTTCTGTTCATTAGGAAGTTCCCCTGGGTTTAGCAAAAGGTTGGAGAAAATAGGGGATGAGGAAAGACTTGTTGTGGGGAAGCCTGCCAACTGAGCCGTGATGTTATGGTAAAAATCCTGTGCGGGGGCTTGCGCAAGTATCGGGAGGCAGTTTTAAAAATTCCAGGGAAAAGGGAAACCAAAGCAGCAAGATCCAGTGAAATCTCTCTTCCGTCTGCCTGTGTTAGCAGTAAGCTAACTCGACTCACAAAGGAAGGCTGTTTGTGTGCAGGATTCAGCAGGCTACCTTTTAATTTCCAGGGAGAGGCTTTCCAGCGCACATCTGTGAACCATCTCCGAAGTCCTACAGTGAAAACAGGAAAGATGAATGATGACACTAACCAGTGAAACAAAACAAAAGGCAAAAATACCCAAAGACGACCAAAAAAAAGCCCCGTTTGGAAGGAAACTCAACACAAAGGTTTCCCCCAACCTCCTTGTTGTTTTTTTTTTCTCCTTAATACACTACGAAGAGCACAAAGGGCATACGTAGGATTTCTTTCCCTTTGGGACCCGACTGCAAACCACATAATGGCAAAAGACGCTCAAATAAGTTGGCCAGGAGGCTGGAGCAAATGCCTGGCCCTAATGGAAATGCCTCAGCCCCGTTGTTGATCCCAGGACCTCTGTTTCTTCTCAAGGAAAGCTCCAGCTCTCCAGCACACCCAGGGAACTGCTGCTTTAAATTTTACCAGCCTTTCCTTTCCACTTTCGAATTACAAAGGACACTTTCTGAGGTCTGTGGTGGTTTAGGATCCTCACAGTCTAAGGAAGCTTTCTGAAAATCCAAATCCAGTATGTTCAACTTATCTCCATCCTTGTTACCGCCCTCAAGGAGCTGTGGCAGGCTGATGAGGCAGGATTGCCCCTTGTGGACACGGAGGTGACTCTTTCCCTTGACATCCCGTTTGTCCGTGTGTCCTTACGGCTCTGCTGCCACCGGGGGGATGGAAATCAGGCTCACCAGCCTGGTGCCTGGTTACCTATTTATTTTAAGTTACCTATTTATTTATTTTAAATATCTCGTGTTGATAAGACCATTGTGAAACTCCGTATCCACGTGTGGGATTCACTTGGGGCGTTCTCTCCCATTGCAACACCGACCTAACCCTAACGGTGCTGTGGTTGTTATCACAGATCTGCTCGCCTATTAACGCCTCCTGAGGTGGGTTCCCTGCACCGCTCCAGACCAAATGCGGGACAGCAGCTTTCTGTGGCTTCTGTGGGTGGGTTTGTGTTGGTGTTGGTGTTTGTTTTTGAAGAAGCAGTCATAAAATCATAGAATCTTAAAATGGTTTGGGTTGGAAGGGACCTTAAAGATCATCTGATTCCAGCCCCCTGCCATGGGCAGGGACACCTCCCACCAGCCCAGGCTGCCCAAAGCCCCATCCAGCCTGGCCTTGAGCACCTCCAGGGATGGGGCATCCACAGCTTCTCTGGGCAGCCTGTGCCAGGGCCTCACAGTCTCTCTGGTGAACTCTGCCAGCGCTGGATCACCCTCGCAGTAAGACTTTTTTTTTCCTAATGTTTAAATGGACTTTCCTGTATTTCAGATTGTGCCCATTGCCTCTCGTCCTTTCACTATCACTGAGAAGAATTTGTCTCTGGCTTCTTTCCCTTGGCTTGCTCAGGAGGCCTTCAGGTAAGGGATGGTTTTATAGATGCTAACTGCAGTGATGGAGTTTTCGGAGAGCTCAGCACAGCCTGATAGGTTTTTAATTCATGACAGTCCTGTTCCTTGTAAGAAACCCTTCCATTTAGCATAAATAAGACTGCTTTTGAGCTAGTGTGCCCAGTCTGGGCTCCTAGTAAAAGAAAGACACTGACAAATTGGAGAGAGAGCAGAAGAAGGTCACCAAGATGGTCAAAGTGCTGCAGCACGTGAGGCACGAGGAAGGGATGAGAGAACTGGGTTTGTTTAAGCCTGGAGAAGGCTGAGGGAGCATCTTTTCTCCATCTACACCTACCCAATAGGGCTTTACGTGGTTGTTGCAAAAGGACAGTAGATGTGGTTACAAGTTGCAAGAGAAATTCCGTGTGGACGTAAGTAAAAGATCCAAGCAGAGCATTTAATAGTTGCTAAGGTTGCCCACAAATCAGCTGGAGTTACTAAAAACCCAGCTGATCCAGGCCCTGGGAACATGAGGTAACTTTGAAATTAGTCACGCTTTGAGCAGTTCTTCCTCCACCCCTAGCTTCTGGCGTACCTTTCCCTGGAAGCTCACCCGTAACTCGTGGCAAGGTAATTGCCTTCTCTGGGCATCAGCGTTTGCGAACACCTCGTTTCATGACCGGCCAGTGCACAGAACACCTTTAATGATGCAGCTCTCTGCTAATTGAACGAGTTTGGGATCTTCTGGTGCCTTGCAGCATCTGGAAACAAAGCAGAGTGTCCTTCAGGGCAAGAATATGTCCAGGACGAATAACTCTTCCACTACAAGGCAGGATGGAAAAGACTCCAGAACAAGCACCAAGACATTGCTCCTTCACAGGCGAGCTAATCCCTGCTTTTCCATCCTTTCATGTAATCCGCCCACCACAGAAAGTTGCTAACAAGGACTTGGAAAGTAAAATGTGCATTAAATGAATGGGTTTGGCAGAAGGAACATCTGTTTGTGAGTAACTTCTTGTTCCCTACATATGATAATGGTTATGGATTAGCGTACAGAGTGCTGAACTTGTTTACAACGCCTCGAAACTGTATGTTTTGAATCATTAATAAGGAATGTTTTTAAATGCAGGATTTCTCATCAATATGAGCGTTGCTGTTTTTTTTTTTTTTTTTTTTTTTTTCCCTCCCTAAATAGGTGCAATTCAGTTTGCAAATTAAATATCAGCCAGCTTTACATAATGTCGCTCTTTCCACAGCCAGAGAAATCAACGTTTTTATCATCATCACAGCCTGCTCTGGTTAATATTCGGGACAGCCAACAGGTGAAAGCAGAACCATTTTAAGGTGAGCTCTCACAGACATTCCAGGTTTAATCTGCCACGATCCCGAAGGGAGTCGGGAATGTTTGCTGGGAGGGGGTGGGTCTGTTTGTTTAAAACAATCCTGGGGAACAAAGGAATGAAATGAGATTATCAATAGCTCAGAAAATATGGATTTACACTTCTTTCTCCTTGCTTTCCACCGTACTCCTCAGGCAGGCCAAACCTTTCCACTGTGGGGTTTTGCCTTTTAAAGAACTAAAGAGAACTTTTTTAGTGAAGCATGCGTGTGTAAATCCTGGCTAATCACTGCACTGACTTCAGCTCTGGCCAGCATTAAAGGCAGATTTGCAGCGGCGCAGATTTGCTGCGCTCCCTGCACGCTGCACATGGCATTTGCTCGTTTCCTTCTGTCAGCTCCGCGCGGCGTTGGCCCTGCCTTTGGGCTCGTTTTCTCTCGCTTGTAATGTGAGCCCCCCAAACGCGGCCACTCCTGCGTGTGGCTGGGAGGTCTGCATTCCAGCTCCCCGTTGGAAACCCGTCAGAGCTGGGAGCGAGAATAGTCCATGACATATTCCAGTCGGAATGCCTGTTTTAAAGAGCCTTTGGACACGCTCCAAACACAGCAAGTGCGGGACGGGGGAATCTGATTTCACCCCTAATGCAAGAAATATTCATGTGAAAACTTCCCTTCCACAGAGGAGATTGCAACAGCAGTTAAAAGGCGTAATTAGCTTTTTTTCTGCTGCTATCTGATTTTGATAAAGACACGCAGAACACCACACCCACCTCTAACCACGTTCACGCCCTGCCAGGGCTCAGCTAACCTGGAGGGAGCTGGTGGTGTGGGGCTGTGTGGCAGAGAAGATACTCAGAAAGGCTTGGGGATAGCCGGACAGGTTTGTCAGACAAGACAAAACAAGACAAGGCAAGGAAAAAAAAAATCCACATGGCTGTGTTTTGGATTTCTTTTTGTTACTTTTCCCACTGCAGACCTGGTGTGCATGACCCTAGCTGAGATCCCTGAGGAGGAGAGCCCTGGACGGCTGCCCGCCCGGATGGCCTCTCCGAAACAAGCCTTCGGCCACCTTCCCACGAGAGGACGTTGCTCACCAAGCAACCACCCCATCTCTACCTTCAGTTCTCAAGGAAGACCTACAGGAAGTAAGCCTGGGGGATAATATTCACCTCTGCTGGCTACTGAAGTTCAGCAGCTCAGCGGAGATGTTTGTCATCCTGCAACGTTTCACATTTCATTCACTTTCTAATCCCTCTCTGGCCTCAGGTGCTCCATACCTGGTGCTGTCCCCACCGAGGACATCACCTCTCCCCTTGCACCACCCTCTGTGGTCCGTAGGCATTGTTAGCTTATTCTTTTAAAGTGATTTTTATTAAAAGTTAGGTGAATCCAAAGCAATTGCTCCCCATCTGTTGCTTCTACATTTGCTGCTTCTGTCTCAGACCTGTAAAAAACCTGTTTGGCCGGAGATTTACATGCAGCTTGTGAGTCTAATGAAAAATGAGAGCTGCAGTCCTCTCCTTGCCTGTGTCCTTAGAGCTATTACCACATAAATGAGTGGTTGGACATCGCCACTTCCCATCATTACAGAAGGGCTCAGGCTCCCTTCTGGAACCAAGCAACTCACAACAAAGGCAGAGCGATTCCAGTGCTATCTCTGGTGGTTTGTGCGAATCGCAAAGACACGCAGACACAGCAGAGAGAGAGGAGATAGCAAGGAAGGACAGACAAACAGAGAGCTCTTCACAGCAGGAAAAATCCCCCCACACACCCCCCGCCCTAGTGCAGACTTTTGGCTGAAAGATAATGCCTTTGTTCCCAGCTCCAAGATGCTGTCACTCCTATTTCATTTCTTCTCCTCTAAAAGAAACAGACTTCTCGCATACTTGGGAAATGAAAGGGATTGCATTAAAAACCTGTTTATTGTTATTTTTTTCTTAGCAGAAACTGCCTGCGGGGTCCCTCCCTTTGGCCAACGCTTTGACAGAAAGCAGTAACAGTCCTGTGAACCAGGCTGATGTGTTACATGCAGCCTCCTCAGCCATTATCCACCCAAGGGAAGGAGAAACAAGTTGCACTGGGTGGATGCTGGGGCGTTTGAGGAGAGGCTGTCAGTATTGGAACTGAGCAGATGGTCGAGTTTCGGTGAGTTTGCAGATCAATGCCTCCAGGCACCTTCAAAGGGTGTCCCTATAGGTCAGAGCCTGCTTTGGTTATAAGCCTGAAAGGGCCTCTTGCAAAGATTAGATCTTGTCTAGGGGTATTTGCACAGTAAGAAAAATTGCAAACTGAAAGATAAAAACATTCCAGCCCGTCTTCCAAAAGCAGGGCTGTGTATCAAAACGTTACACGCTATCCATGAAGAGTATTTTTAAAAGCTCAAGAAGATTTCCATGCAACAGCTCAAGAAGAACAGCCCATCCAGATGGTCCTCAAATTTGTCCTTCATGTGTAACTACCCACAGGTACAAAACACAAAATAATAAGGTTGTTTTGCAGAAGACTGGGAGTTTGAAAGTTAAACACTTTGAGTAAGACCATCTCTTCCAAGGCTGACTGCTCAATAATCTAGACGTGTAAGTAAGAAATGTCTTCAGCTCTGCCTCACTGCAAGGTGTTGGCTTTTTCTCAGGTGAAGACCCCAGCGTTAGAGACGTGAAATTAGGCCATGGGAGAGAATAACTGCACCTAAACCAAGCCCGATGACAGCCGCCGCAGCGGCAGAGCTGGCTGTGCAAACGTTGGGTACTTTGTCTCTCTTGCTGGAGCTGCAGGCAGGTCTCGTCTAAGTGTTGTTGTGGGACTTCCCATGTCATTGCCACGGGTTTATCAGAAATGCTGCTCTTATCTCCGTGAGATAAAACCATTTATTAAGGCCTACAGTGTAACGACTAGCACCCACAAACTGTGTAGGATCTCTTGTGTGTGATTCCTTTTGAAGCCTAATGATTTATTAAGAGGAAATGCCGAGGCTGAGGGGACAGAAAGCTGTGACTGAGCCAAGGAGACCCCTTTGTCTGCGTCCAGGCAGAGGCAGGAGCAGGCTCCTTCAGAGGCTGTGCACCTGGAATGCAAACACTGATAAGAGCAGCTCCAAAACCCGGTGAAGGATGGGAGCCTGCTGATTGCCAGCACCACGCGACCAGGACGGGCCAGTGGTGAACTCCAGGAGCCAAAAAGGCTTTCCTGTGCACGGAGAGCATTTTAAAGGCTCCCTCTCATGGTCTGAGAGCTCGCAGGCTTTGCTAGAGCGATTTCCAAACTTCCCTTGCCTGGTTTGAGTACAGTGGCCCTGTTCAGGAAAGCAGTGCTGTTTTTTTTTCTGGAGCACTTTCTGAGGAAAGATGTTTTTAGCAGCCTGGCAGGGACATCCTCCCCTCTCAGCACCGAGAGGATGCCCTGGGGGCACTGATGGCTGGGGACAGGATGTGAGAAACCAGAGAGGGCAGTGGGATCCAGAGAGCACAGCAGGGATCCAGGCAGGGATCTCGAGCAGTGGGATTGTTACTGAGGACCTCCAGGAAGGCTTTTGCTCCCTTGGTTGAAGGCAGCTGTGCAGCAGGGTGTGTTTTTAACCCTGTGTTACTCCTAACCCTTTCTCTGTGGGTTTTGGTGGGGTTACATGGCTGCTCTGCTGCGTAACTCCATGCAGAGTAACAAAGGGCAGTGAAGAAACGTGATGGAGTCCCAAGGAAGGGCTGTAAGGAGACACATCCAGAGCCACATCCAGAGAATTTGCAACGTGGTTGTGGGAAGCCAAGTGCTCTGAGGCTCTTTGGAAACTCCCAGATGCCCCTGTGATGGCAAGGGACAGCTTCAGGCCTTCTTGAGCCTCTCCCAAATGCCAACCAGCTAAAGTCAGCCCATTTCTCCTTCCAGTGACATTTTAACACTGGAGATTTTGTAGAAGGCACTTTGTCAGTTTTGTGCTAGTTCTTTCTGCAGCTGGTCACTAGAGAAAGCGATGGTTCCAACCCTCCGACCGACCCAGCATAACCTCTCTGGCATTCACCAAGCAATTTGGGAACTAGATGAAAAGTCTTAGCAATGTTCAAGACAACGCAGCCTAACAGTGAAAGCTAACACACAGCAAGGTGGCGTGGCTCTTGCTGTTCCACATCCTCTCCCTAAATACTCTGCAGTTACTCGCAGCATAAGAATCCCTTTTCCTCTTGGTTCCCATTTTGCTGTCACCGTTACTCGCAGCACAGCTGTGCCCACATCTGGATGGCTGGTGGCACGGGTTGCTCTCTGGCAGCAGTAGCCAAAACCTGCTGGGGCTGCTCACGAGTGCAAGGAAAGATTAAAATGGGAAGATAAAATGTTAAATTCTCAGCTGAATGCAGTCTGGATTCAGGTGAAGGAGAGGCAGTAGGAATGACAAGGGGCATTTTTTTTTAACCCACCTCTTCAGACTTGGCTGGCAGGGTGATGTCCTCGGCACCTTTATGCAGCTGAGAGCATTTTTTTAGCTGTAACTGGCAAAAGGGGTGGTGAAGAACCAGCCAACAAGGATTTGATGGGATACTTCAGACAGATTTACACCCCTTTGCACTCTTTGAATGATACAAAGAAGGTAAGGGCCACAATTTTTATTGCTGAAATAATTTGTTCCTGTTAGTTGCTCACAGTCTGCTCCAGAATTGAAGTTAACACCGTCTCTCCTGCCACACATTAAAACACCGCAGTCACAGGATGGACCACATGAGCTGAAAGCCTGAACTCTTCTTGCTTTTTAATGTGGGAAGTCACTGGTCAGCTCAAGGGCAATCATTACTGCATGAGACACAAAAGCTGATCTCCCTAGGGATGCATTTCACATTTCAGAGGTGTTAATCTCAAGATACCGCTCAGCTTCCAGCCCCAGTAACTCGCCGTGTCTTCACAACTTCCTTCTCTTTCAGAAATTCAGCAGTTGCAATTTGAGTGAGATTTTTCTTTTTGTTCTAAATGTGCTGTGTGGTTCCGCACCGTGGGGACCACATAGACCTGGTAAGACAATTCCAACTATATTATTTTCCCCACAAAAATGTCTCATTTTCCCTTTTTGGAGATATTTGTCTCCTGATAAATATACACTGTGCCAGGGAAAGTGGGGGGAGGCCAGCACCTACTGGTCTGAAGATCAGGCCCCTCTTAGATGAAAGAATTCCAAGTTCAGGTTCAATTAATAGTTGATCACCAGACAAGCAGCTCATCTTTTCTCACATCCTTTTAGAAAAAACAAAACCCAAACCAGACAAAACCCAGAAAGGCCTCGGTGTTGACCTACTAGAAGAATGCAAAAATTCTAAAATCTCAACTGTGTTCATGGGATGGCACAGAAAGCATTTTACGTCCCTCTCAATCAGCGGGTTTCATGTGAGAAGTGACAGCTTCCAGTGGGGCTGACCCTCCCCTTAGCACCCCTTCCCCTTAGGATCGGGGTCTTTTATTTCCCAACTGATCCATTCCTAACAGAGCCGACAGAGGGAGGGCGATAGAAAAATTGCACTCAAAGAGAGAAAGCTTTTTGCAAAGACACTGAGAAAAACTTACTGAGAAGGCTCCGCTGAGCTTAGTGACAGCTTTCCAACACCCCAACTCGGGGAACTACTTGAGGTCTGAGGAGGCAGGAAAAGGCCACAGCAAACAAGTTCACAGAAGAGCTATTTTGAGCCCAAAGAAGTCTGTATCTTCCCACACAGCAACTGCAAGTGTCGAAGCTACTGAGTAGCCTGCTAAGTTGCTTTGGCTATCTGAATGAAGACGGGCGTTATCTGAAGAAGGGAAGTTTGAGGAAAAATAGCAGGAAACACTGCCTAGAAAGCCTTCTTTTTTTGTTGAATAGCTCAATTGTAAAGCATCATGGCAACAGGGGGAGAACAAACCCTACTGGACAGACGCTAGACACAGCGCCCGAGGCGTTACTAGAATGCACTTGGGGATGTGGCTGGTCATAAAAGCCTGCACAGAATTAAAGCTTTGTAAAATACGGCTTTGCAGTACGCACCAGGGGGTGTATCTTAGGGTGGAAAATAGTTCCTTGCTTTTGCCATTGGGACAGAAAGACCTGAGAGGGTCATGGCATATTGTGTGGTGACAATCCTCAGAGCAAACCTTGTGCTTGAGGGCTGGATAGTGCGAGTGATGGCTGTTATTTAACATTATTGCAAACATTTTGGTGATGTTTTAAAAATATAAGCCAAAAATGAGGGGCATGCTTCGGAAGAAATCCCCAAGTTGGTTGTAAGTTAATGCCACAAACAGGTCGAAGTAACTTTTGGGGCAGAAAATGAAAATTGTCCATACAGCACAGTGCTGCATGTGCATGCTTTTAAAAGAATGAGGAATACTGAGGTCAGCTTTGTTGTCTGAGTTTTTCATTCTGTGTAGCATGAGGAGCGTCATGTCTCGTTAGGCCCAGTGCTCTCTACAGCAAATACCTTGCTGCCTTCTGCAAACTGTGGCTTGGGCACCTGGTGTCAGCTGGTATCTCTCCGGAAACAATTCACTTCCTGGTGCAGCTCCTATCAAAGACACACAACATTTATCACTGTTATTATTACCAAGCCTTGCTATCACCAATCTCATCTCTAGTGTCCTGCAGGGATTAACACTTGGTGATGTCTGAACGACACAAACTGGTCCGGCTCGTAGCTGGGGATCGCTGAGCTGCAGGTGATTTACCTTTGAGAAATGGTGAATCAGACACGTTACAGTGCTGGGAAGATGTTGGACAAAGGAAAGAGCCAGGAGAACACAGAGAAGTGTGGAGTCACTGCTTTCAGTTAAACAGGTATTTAAATCCGGAGTAACCCCATCAACTCCGAGTCTGTTTGCTTCCTGTTTGCCTAATCTGACTTTGACAGAATTGGCCCGATTTTCCATGCTTTGCTTCCTTTTTCCTGGCTTCCTTTCTCAGCACACACCAGCCAGGTTTAGTCTATTCACGTCCATGTTTACATCCTTTCTGAATTTGACTCGTATTTCTCTCGAACATACAGTCATGCACGTGAATACCACCTCCTCACAAAACCTTGTTTTCACACACCCCGCTGTCTTGGTGTTACAAAACTCCCTTCATACCTGTTACATCTTTGTTTTCACAGTAACTATAAAGATCCCCAAAAAGGGGGGATGGGAGAAGTTCTTAAAGAAAAAAAAAGGTCAAACCTCAAGCTCTATTGCCACTAGCTAGAATGGGAGCCATTTCCTCTCAAGAACCCAGTACTTGCAAGGGCTCTGGAAGACTGTTGTGATGATAATCTCATGCACATCAGCCTTTCTGAAACTCCTCTGTGATTTACAGAGTCTGCGCTGGCCTTTGTGCTGGGTGGAGAAAAGATACCTGGCAGGTAAATTAAGCAAACAGCTCCGAATTTATGTTTTCCCCGTTTAATACACATGAAGTACACTTTCAGGATAAGATCATTTTCTCACGGAAGGGCCTTCAGAGTAATATAAATGATCAATGAGCACAGAAAGTAGAGACAAAGTCACTGAAAACTCACGAGGCAGGGTGCCGTTAGAGTGGGGTGAGGGAACTACAGAACTGAATTTTTATTTTATTTTTCACAGAATCTGAATTCATTGTTCCCAGTGAGGCAGTTATTAATCCTTCCCTGAATCGTATGGCCTTCTGCTTTGTGTAAATACAGAAGGATGCATCTGGTCTAGTTCATTTAGACTTTCTGGTATCTTCTCTGCAGAGATGGCTGACCCACCCTCCCAGCCCTAAGGAGAGCTGCCTTTACCTTCATTTGCTTTCCAACACGCTACTCTGAAGAATTTTCCTGCTTCCAGGACTTGTTCCTCAAACCAGCCCATTATTAAAACTCCGGGACACCTTAATTTTTGCAATACAAATGAAACACATGCAGTGTTTAAAGCTAAAGGTGTTGCACGCAGAGCGTTTTAATCAATATTTAATTTATCCATCCTCACCAAACAGCCAAGCTCTGTGCATTAAGAATGATTTTGCACTTTTTTTGCAGGCAGTTTTTAGGAACGCAAGCACTGCTGCTGAATTCCAGCACATCAGTGCCTGTGTCTGCAAGGGCTGAGGGAACAGGCTGTAGACCTGCACCGTGCACTAGTTATGGCAATTTTTCTTAAAATTGCTTAGAAAAGGATCGAGATTAGTAAACTTTAGATTCATCACTTCTAAAACCTAAATTTATTTTGCATTTGCAGAGCTGAGTGACCTAAACTGAAAGAGCTTCTGGAATGGCTCAGTCTGTTCATCAGTATTGTTCAACCAAAGCAGTGTCTCTATCATCTAGGCTTGCAAAAGCAGGCAATTACCTCATTTTAGAACTGGCTCATTAAAAATAATAATAATAAAAAAATCAAACCCAGCAACCTAGTTTTGGCAGAGCGCAGGACTTGGTCTTTGACATGGGCTGTGCAGCTGGGTGGCTCTGATAAAAATCTGCCGGAGCTTGTGATCTGTGACTGCACAGAAATTTGTTGGTTTACAGCTTGTACAAAGTCCTGGAAGAGAATTTGGTGATAAAAAAAAAAAAAAATGTTTATCTTGTATTTAGAAGAGGAATCTACACTTTCAATGGGTTTTAAGAAGCTATGGCCTGCCATGGACAGGATTCAAGCAATGTAAGTTTACCAATCTCTTCCCCATTCAGAGTAACCATCATTCAGGATTCCCAGCCTTTTGTGTTTCTATCATTAATTACACCCAGATATTTATATTCATGGAACAGCAAAGACAAAACCCCCTGAATAAGTTTCTTGTTCTGAGTTAGCTGCCCAGCTAAAGCATGGAAACATCTCCGATGAACTAATGAGCAGCTCATATCCCAAAATATTTTTCTGGACTGTGAATCACTGGAGTATTGCCCGCAATTCATACAGCTGGAAAGGAATGGGTTTGTTTATTGGACAGCACTGTCAATCTGTGCCGGATATCTGGGTGCACCATGGGCCTCATGACGACGAAGAGTGGCAATTTCAGAGCCAAAAGCTGGAGTCATGTCAAAGCTGCAGTGGAGGTACTCTGGATTTACGGCGGGGAAAGTGAGGTTGGAATCTGGACAATTAATAAAGGGTCGGTAAGTCCTCTTCTCAGCCGCCTTCTCCTCCCAAGAAAGACAATGAAGCTAATTAAAAAAGATACTGGCCTGAAAGCAAAGTGAAGTGGCTGTTGCAGACATCGCACACAGCGTTCTCATAAAGAACAGGGAGTTTCCACCTGGGAAATTCCCTCAAACTCTATGTTTATCCTCATGAAAGACGAGCAGGCGGCCAAGTAAGGGAATGCAAAGGACTCAACTGCTCTAAATGAAGATGAACCTTTGACTGGAGAGAGAAAAAATTCTCTATTTTTAAATTTAACAATCAAGAAGTGACATCACTGAGTGGTCCATGGGGCCAGTGGAGGCTAAGACATAAACACCCAATGAGAGATGTCCAGGTTGTTCACACTTGACATTTCCCCAAGCCAGTGCAATAAAATCTGTGGTAAAGGACATTTTATAAAGCACAGCACAAAAGAAAACAGAAACAACAAAGCTTATGCAGGAGCTCCAAGACTGGCTGCTTACAGCTCTTGTAGCTCTGAGAACTCTTCAGCCTGCTTCCATGCGAGACTCGTCTCTGATGTTGCATGAAAAGCTCCACCAAAATCAAGGCAATCTCCCTAACAATCACAGCATGTTTGCTTTTAGAGGGAAGGAATGTTCTTTTAGCTAGCATAAATTTCTTAGTCAGACATCCCGAATCATAAATATTAATAATTTTACCACCACACAGAGAGGACTTGTCCAGCCGCAATAAAGCCTCATCAAGCACTACCTGCCATCAGGACCTTGTGTTCCCTTTTCTCTTTTGTGTTCCCTTTACTCTGCCTCCCTCTTGTCTTGGGAGTTGTTTCTTCATTGCTTTTGCTCCCTCTGCCTCCCGAATTTCCCCGATCTCTTCTTTCTGGATAACCACAAACTATTTCCCTCCTCCAAGGAGGATGTTTGGCACCAACCCGTATTGCGCAGGACCTGGTGCAGGCAAGGGCCAGGTGAGAACTGAACAAGACCTTTGAGACATGATCCTGGGTGAGTGCCTGGACCGGCAATCCAGGGAGCAGAATAAGTAAGACTTGGAAATGCTGCAGTAAAGAAAGCAGCCCCCTTTTAGAAGTTAATCATCACCCTGGGGAAGTTTGAATAGCTGTGGGATCGGAGCACTCTGAGCAAAGTAACTCCACAGCTCGTCCAAGGCATGGCTGGAGAGCTCTCCCCTCGCTTCATGCACACACAGGTGCAACATCTGGCCTGACTTCTGGAACTGGGTGCTGGATTTAGGAACCGGCCATCAAGCGCTGTTGTTAAATGATGTGCTAGGGGTAGTGAAATGTCACTGAAGACTTTCCAAAGCTCTGAGGCTGTAGCTCTTACATCCTGTTGCTGCCAGACTTGTTTCCAGAATGAAAACTGATTCCCTGCTCAGCAGGGAAATGTGAGAGCCCCTACATCCACCAGAAAGAAGAAAGGGAAGTGCCGTGGTCATAATCCTTCCTACTCTGCCTACTCTGAAGCCAAGCCAGAGGCACTGACCTTAAGAATGTGTTTCTTAAAAACGTCAGGAAACTCCAGACACCTGGCTCGGCTTCTGTATTTTTGTCTTCTTCCATTTCCATTACATCTTGATGAAAACAGGGAGGTCTTCAGTACTTCACCACAATAACGAATCTCAATCATCTCGGCATCAGCTGCTCTTGCCCACAGTCACTGAACCCAATGGGACTTCATGCACGGGTGCAGGAGTCTCAGCTGGTGAGTGATGACAGATCAAAGCTTTTTGTCTGCAATTCATGCATGCCTGAGGGTGCCGAGGAAATAACAGGAAGCAACAATTAGGTTAATAAATGACATATCAAGGAATATACATTCCTTTGTCATTAGATTACGCATAGCACATATTGGGTGCAATTAACACAATTCACGTAAAAAAGCCTGCAAGCGACCAGTTTCGGAGCTTTACACATATTAATGACATCACTCAAAGATTTATAAGTTATGCTGATTTTATTGCTGGGGAAGCAGAGTTGTTAAGCAGGTTTTCTAAGGCCACACAGCAAGCAATTCCTTGGCTTTATAACTCCCAAATCTGCCTCCTGCTCCATCCAGCAGGCCGTGCTGACTCACTGTGGAACGCGTATTTCCAGCAAACTCTTCAGGGACAAGAGGAATCTAAAGAACAAAAGGTACAGATAAAGAAACAAACGTTTTCTGCCATTCAAAAACCTCGAGCCATCATCTGTTTAAGTTGTCACACTCACCAGCAGGTTAGCTAGGAGTTGGTCAGGAGTGCAAGAATAACACAAGGGAGATTTTGCTGACAGTGCTTCTAGCAAAACTGCAAGTCAGACATAACAGCTTTATGCCGTGAGATCGCCAGAACAAAGAAAATGGAATATATCTGTGATTTCAAATGAAGCTTATTGAGATTTATCACAAGATAGCTTCAATATTCATAGAATCCAGGATTGTTCTCTTCCATAGAGATCCTGGCAACCACAAGACTGTAAGAAACCAGCAGCGATGCTGCTATCCCACCTTCTGGGAGACTATTTCTACGCTACTCTGCTACGTTACATATGGCTGCTCCTCAGTTTTGGAGCAATTTGTAGGTACAAATCATCAATTTAAATGTTAACTTCTTCTAAAGGTGACATATTTTCAGAAACCTGAGAAAATTAAATGGAACAACTGACCCCCTGGTTTCAAAGACCTTTTGAGTCAGACAGTGACCAAGATGAGCATGAAATAAAGTGCTGACTACATGACAATACTATAACCAGACTGCCTGGCATCCAGCTTTGTAGTGGAAATTGAGTTCATTTCCATTCTGTAAGGGGTTTCCAGCCATAAAAAGTCCGTTTCCTTTTCTAGGTGAAGAGAAGAGAGCTGTCCCACCTGACACAATGCTCTGCACAACCAGAATGGGATTGCAGAGGCCCTAACACACAGAGATTAAGCTGCGAACAGCCTGCTCCACATCCCCTCCCCTGGCTGTATCCAATTCACGCTTGCATAACTGAAGTCATGGAATAAATCCCGACCTGGGATTGCTGGCAGATTCTAATTTAAGTACTGACAACAATCCTTCTTGTGCATCGGGAGAGGCTGAGATTCAAGCGACAAAAAAGTATCAGCAAGCAAAAAAACAGAAAGCAGGGAATAAAGAATTGAATGGCCTTACTTGAACTTGGCTTTGGGTAAAGTCAAGCAGCTGAAAAAGCCCCCGATCCAATACCCAAATATAAAAAATAGATGCAGAAATCACATATTCTGATACTTAATTTAGAACCTGACATTCTAAACTTACTCCGTGCGTCAAGTCAGAACCAGACACTGCTTGTGCTACACAGCAGCATTGCAGAAACGCAGACTTCCAAGCCCCAGTACAAATAAACATCTTAAATGATGTTACAAATAATGTTCCCAATAAAAATCTTATCAGTTTTAGTCAAGAGGAAAAGCTCCAGCTCTGCGTATGCTTCTTGTTACAAAACTGGGAATGTTTTTCTCATTTCAAGAGCTCTGGTAAAATGACACTTAGATATCTGTGTCTGGAAGAATGAAAATGAAAACATTTTTCCCCAAACTGTTCTTCTTGCCTGGAGTATGTCCACGTCTGCCCAGTCTTCCTCAGAAATATCTGCAGTTTCTAAGGAAGTTGCTAATCTCTCTCTCCGATTCTTTCCCCTTACTTTTTTTGATCCATTCCTTTCAGCATTCTGCCTTCATGTGCCACAAAGCTGCATCGAACCTCGGATCCTGAGTTAGTAAACTTTTGGAGAATGCTTCTTAAATAGAACAGCACATCTCGAGTTGAAAGGAACAAGGATCACTGAACACAACTCCCAGCTCCACACAAGATGACCTAAAAATTAAAGTAAATGTCTAAGAGCACTGTCCAATGCTTCTAATTCTCGTGGGCTTGGTGCTGTGACCACTACCCCAGGGAGCTTGTTCCAGTGCCCGCACGACTTAGTTTAGTTTAGTGAAGGTACCAAAAGAATCAAATATATCACCAGAGAAAGGAAGTAAAACTGAAACCAAGGCTCATACAGCAAGGTTGGCTTCTTGCAGCATTATTACAGGAAAGTGTAAGTGAAAAACACGAGTGCTAGTGCCAGCTGTGAACTGGTGACCTGGAGCTGACCGATAACCCGCTGTTCAAAATGGGAAATCTTCCCCACCACAGCACAGACAAATGGGGACACCTGGTAGAGTAGCGTGGTTCCAGTAAGATGGAAGAGAGTACTGTAAGCAACGGGCACGGTGAGATGTTTTGGGGAGAAAATGTGTTTTATGAACAGAATTCCTGGCAAAAAAAGAAATGGGGTCATCTCCAGCCTCGGTGAAACACCATAGAAGCATGGAGTGGAGGGCAGGAGATGAAACAACGGGGAGGAGCAGAATTGGGAAGAATGCTGGGGGAGTGGGAGTAACTTTCTGGTAGGGCTGGCTGGCACAGCTCCTGAGCCAGGACCCTGGGGTCAGATGCGTGCTAGCACTAGTGCAGGGGCAGGAGAGCACACCAGGAACAAAGCTGGAGGTGGCTGGGTGTAGGCGAGAAACAAAGTCTGTGGCCTCGTACCTTGACTTGAGCTAAGCCTTAAAACTGAGTAGTTGTTAGATTGCTTTTCTGGCTTAAAAATGCATGTAAAGGATGGGGATAACTTATTCCTAACTGCCCTACTGAAGCACAGCTTGCTGCCTGGAGGAAGCGAAGAGCTTTCTAAACTTTTTACCTTTGAATTTCAGAACATACATGAAGGCCAAGATCTTCTACGAAGATACTGTCCTTCTGGCAGAGTGACTCCAAATGCTATTCCCAGGATCCTGGAAAGCCTGAAAATGTAAGGAATAGACACCCCTCCAGCATTATCTCCTTTTAAACCTCAGGCTGTCTGCTCCATCCACAGAGGCATTCTGGAAGACCAGTTAAACCCAACACCAACAGATCCCCAACCATTACTGCATTTCACGTCAAATCTGGACAAGCAAACCGAGTCCTTAGCTAAACAAATTGTGCCACACCAGCAAGAGTTGATCATTTTGTAAATCACACAGCATAACTCTGAAAAAAACAAGGAGAACTGACTCATGTTGTGAAACTGAGGGATTTACTTACTGTCAAACTACTGGAGCTCGGTCAGTGAAGCACCGCTTCGTGAGGCAGGTAACAGGACCTACACTTCCCAAAACTGTACGTGGGGACCAAGAAAATAGGTTAGGAAGTCAGTGCAATGAATAAAAAGTGAGCTGATGTTTGATTAAACATTAATCTGATGAGAGATGACAAAAACCAGAATTCCTTAAATTAGACTTATTCCAAGCTGATCTCACTGGAGGCCTCGCTCGCTGTTCTGAAACCTCATTTTGGCATAGGAGTGCACAGAGCATGAACACACACATGCTCATTATCTGAGTACATTTGCAGGCTATAATTCTAGCAAACATTAGATTAAATAAAAGTTCCTTGAACTTTGAAACAAAGAAAAAAGCCCGGACTTCTACTGTAATTAAAAATTTTGGAAACAGCCTTCAGTTCAAGCCCCATGTTAGCCACTGGTGTTCATCAGCTGCCACAAGGCCTCGAACCAGCACCATAAATGGGAAAACTTCCAGTTCTGTAACAAAATGTCTAGCAGGATGGAGTAGTCCTCACACAGGCTGACATGATTTTTAGTAAGATATTTCATTTTTATTTGTGCTCACTATAGAAGCTGTTCTTGACAGCTTAGACCTATGGGTGTCTCCAGACCTCAGTGTCTCTACCAAACAGGCAAGGCCAGCACTCAGCCTCCAAGGAGACAACGATATGGGGAAGAGCACACAGCATTTCACACAGCCTCCAGAAGTCAGCTATCTTTATTATTTAGTTCTGTTTCAATGTGTATGCTTCATTAAGCCGCTACAGCTGCCTTCATGCCTGTTTAAGCATTTTTAGCAACCTTTAGGCATTACTGCCTTCACACCGCGCCACTTTCAACAAGAAAACTTACCTGCCAGAGGTTATAATGTTACCTGAAAAAGTCCTCTCACTAGGGAAGGTGGCTTAATGAGAATTTCACCTTCTGCAGGTCATAACAAATTAACTACGATTTTCTTCTTGCTTTGCATTAAGAGAATGTCATCTATTCTTTTTTTTCTTTGGCAATGGAAAATGAGATATTTTTGCATGTACTTGATCCTTCATCTGCATTCCTGCCTTCTGATATTTAGATAATCATAATTTAATAGAGCAGAAATAGTGTTTTACAAGGAGCTTCTGCCCACAGTTGGTTAAACATCTGATAACCTATGTGCAGCAGGATTCTTCTATAAGAGGAACCAGCACGGCTTCCCCACGAGCAGCTGTTAATGCAGGCACACATTCAAACATGCAGTTGTCCGAAATAGCAGCGCTGCAGACACTGAAAGTCAAGAAGGGCCAGCTCGGGTTGCAGGACTATGAAACGGGGCAATCACAAGCCGGTGAAATCCTTCTCCCTGCTAAGAGGCTATTGCTGCTCCCTCCTTGCACTTCTTACAGGCACTGGGATTGGCTTCTAAGCCGTGATTCATAACGGTATCACCCTGCTCTGCCTCCCCTGCTGCTGTCCTGGCTCATTGCATTTCCCTCCTATTTTCTGCAAACCATGCCACCCAACAAATTCTGCTCTGAACGTCTCTTCATTTTTACCCAGAAGGTAGCTTTAAATCGCAAACTGAAAGAACACAGCACTGGCAGACACAGGAGTGACTTGCTCATGCTTTGACTTCAGCAGAAATTCTGATTTTTCCTTTTCAGTTCTGGCAATTTCCAATAGATTTCCGATACCCTTGGCACTAATGAAGAACAATAATTGTCTCATCACAGCCATTAGGTAATATTGGTTGTTTAATGCTTAGCTTAGTGGTTTACAAACTCTGAATACCTACAGTAGAGATTTTTCAGGGTTCTGCACACAAACTGCCTCAGCTGCAACATCAGAGCATCAGTTCTGCTTTGCGTAAGAGCACAGACCGCACCAGGTAATCTCACTGTCAATCTGAGACTTCGAGTTTTCATCTCGGATTTCACTGGCAGCATGACCCTGGGAACACTTCGCTCAGCAACAAACAGTAAAGAACTACCAAGAAGTTGCATTTGTTTCCCACTAATGTATATGTTAAGTGTCTGTCTTTGAAGTATTTTTCATCTCTGCACAAAAGATGCCAGGAAGCACTAATTCAGCTGAAATACTCAAATACTTTTAAGACAATACATGTATCATACCACCTGCAAGTGTTTGTACAGAATTATCTCTCCTGTCACCATAAACAATTTTTATAATATGAAGAGTTTTGAGATTTATGATGATTCAAGAGTATTTCAGCACTTACCATGTTTACAGAGAACTCGGGGTTATTAAACTGTGCAGTGCTTGAATTCTTCTAGACAGTCCCAACATAAGGAATGAGAAATGTAGTAACAACTGGCAACCATTTCTGCAAGATTATGGATCACTTACCGAATTTCATGAAGTGTTTCCCAAGTAACCAATTAACAAAGATTAATGTTGAAATGGAAGAAAACAGAACGACGGAAAAGCTTTCTAACGTAAGAATTCTCAGATAATTTAAGACTTACTTTAATCACCAATTCAAATGCGAATCAAGTGACAATTTAACAAAGAGCTGGCTTCAGAAACAGGAACAATGTCAGAAACAACTGGCTTCAGAAATTACCTTGTGTGTCAGCTGAGGAAGAAATCAGTTCTGTTAAAAGGCAACTTTGGGTATCATGAGGCAATTGCATCTAAGCAGATCCAGTCACAGCCTTTAAGATACTTGATCTCACTTTATTTCCAGGTTAAAGTGCATGTTGATTTAAGTATTTGCTAGACTTGGAAATTCTGAATATAAGAGGCAGCATTACACAACGATGTTACTGAATTTCTGAGCAAATTACTTAATTTGCATTTCTCTGACACCTTATGACCAAAAATATTCTGGTTAGAAAAAGATCTACCTAGCTAACGAGCCCCTCTACAATACACTGGTGAGTTGATCATTTCTCCATACTCAAGAAATGAAAAGCAGGTTGAGAGATTAGCTGACCAACGCAAAACTCAATCTCCAGATCAGCTGCAGACCCAGGAACTTCGTAGGTCTTCTGTTTCGATACTTCAAACTGAAACCATGTTCCTCCTCTTAGCTTTTTGTGCTGATACACCTCACAGTGCCAGAGCATGTCTAGTATGAAATACTGTGCAGTAGTCATACTGCCTCCACTTTGCACTCCAGTTGACTTTATCTTGCTCACCAACTTGTCTTGCAACACTGTAAAAAAATCACTTAATCACTCCATAATTGTTTTTTTTTCTTACTTCCTTCTGCTGTTTTAGTGTGAGAATACCTTGAGCGAAAAAAACTGTCTTGGATCTGGAAAGTGCCCACCAAAATGGGCTTCCTTGATCGAGGTACCTGGATATAATAACAAACAATAAAGGAAATCTTACTGACCTGCAGACAATCTAAACTGATTCTTGTCGTTATGCAGAAACTGTGAAACTCCCTATGACAACTTCAAGAGGAAGTAACTTAAGGTCCTCTTTCTGGTCCTGTGAGAAAGAGAGGTTGCATTCCTTGAAACCTAGTGTACAGGAGGCAAATTCGTTCTTCAGTATCAACCTGTGGAAAGGAAGTTGTTATAGACATATTAAAAGGTATGGCTGTCCTTTTTTCCAGTAACAGAGGTATATACAGAGCAAAATTCTCTTTTAGCCAGATGTTTATCACATCGGTGTTTCAGAGTAGCAGTCATTACAATCAAGATTGCTTCTCTTGGTTTTATTTCGCACCCTCCCTCATAGGTAGTCTTAAATCTCAAGGGGCCTTTAGATGATATGTTCGATACTTGAAATCTTAGATGAGAGATAGTGGTGCAAAAACAACACTGAAAATAAAGCAGGCAAATCTGAAGAAACTGTGCTCTAAAACCTCATTTAGGCCAATAGTGTGCTTCCATTTCTCTGGGGCAGAACTTCCCTGCTTCTGAAATGCTTATTATCAGTGCAAACCATCAAAAAATCCTCAGTAAAATAGGATTACAACGTAATGTAATGATAAACCAAAACATATTTACTACATGTATTTATTTCTGGCATTCACCCGTACTGAGAATACAATTACAAATTACACAGAGAATACATATTGAAAGACAGCAATTATTCAGGATACAGAGCATCATAAACAGAAGTGTACTTATCCAGAAAAGTAACTGCATTTTAGATATGAGTTTTTATTTCTGTTCACAAACATATGTACAATAATTGAAATATTCAGAAGAAGATTACGCTCTGTTTTGTTGTTGTTTATTTTAAGAGGCTTCCCAGCTGCTAGGGAAGTATTGTTTCATTAATGTCTAGCTAAAGAAATGAGATCAAGAATTATTCAGACGCAATTTAGAATGGGGCCCATGTTAGTGAAGCCCGTCACACAGCAAAGCAGACAACAATCCTCTTCACTCAAACCCATGCACAAGAAAGAAAAACGTACATGGTAGCACAACAGAGAGATGTAATTAATTCTAGCAAAACTTATTGTAATTTATAACTTTATAAATGTTTTATTCTATTTAGCAACAATTCTGGAGTGGTTAGGTTAAAAAAAAAATCATTAGTTTTGCAGAATTCAAATCTGGGGGGATTTTCAATGCAATGGCAACTAAGGGAGTTAGATAACTAATCAGCCTGGAAGGAGAGAATCTGCTTTCATTGAAAAACCTGCAACTACTGTGCATTACCATCCATCCTAGCCTTCATGAAAGAGTGTTTCATGTCCCTAGGTTACTTATAAACACAGGATTTCACAGCTTAAGTACAGAATGGGATAGGATCTCATTTCATACAATATTCCTAAATATAAACGTTTTAAGTATTTTTATTCTGCATACTCAAAGTACTTTATAAACGTGTAAGTGACGTCTGAAAACAACTGACATAGAAAGTAATTCTAGAAAGGAATTCCAGTCAATCAGGTCCTTTCCACAAATGTGAAAATGATTCAATTTTATGGTGCAACATGGTCCTTGTGGAGGAAAAAGAGTTATCCTTCACGACACATTTCACAAATACAGTGGTCTTACAGAATTAGTATATACAGAGCAGAACACCAACATCACTTTGTATCCACCCTTACAAATAAAGGTTTGCTTAGTAATATTCCAGCAAAAAGGCAAAATTTTCACCCTAGAGGCTGAAACAATTTTACTTCCAAAGCACTACAACCAGCTTTGTTCTACTAAAATTACTTCAGACAGATATTAACAACATCAATTTAATCTGGGGAAGAAACACTACGCTAACCTAATAAATAAAGGAGTGAGCTATACATTAAAGATGTAATAAGGTTTGAACTATTTCTCATTCTTTTTCTTATAAACGAGCAGATATGAAACAAGGGGGAAGCACTGAAAGAACTACAAACATAGAGCTTATTACTGTCTATATATCAGAATGCATTATTATTTTATTCCAATTTCTAGGGGACCTTTAAGAGAGCATTTTTCTTTCAACTCCAGCACACGCAAGATTACACAAGAAGAGATTTACCTCTCTTCATACGGATTACAAATCAAACTTGGTTTTGTGCTAGGTTACATTTTTCATGCTCAGGAATTTAATATGCATTATGAAAGACCCTTTCTAATTGTAGTATTTTATCAACAGAGAGGATTACCTCTACATCTTGCTTGCAAGTTAAGTCAGAGGTAGGTTAGGAATGCTTCCGAATTTAGTGTTTTACTTGAAATGAATTAATTCCTCTTCCAAAGGGGTTAATGCTAAGTATAAAAGGAAAACGTATGCACAGCTGCCACTGCCTGCACCGGGAGAAAAACTCCGAGATGTTCAAAATGAGACGACAACAGGGAAAAGAGCAGTGAGCTCCTTTTCATTTGCTTCAGTGCACCAGTTCAGGCTGATTTTCTACAAAAGGAAGCACCCCGCTAACGTAGTATGCTATTCCAAGAGACAGCAGGGCAATGACAATGATCAGGAGCAGCACCCTCCAGAAGCCCAGGTCTTCCACGAACTCTTGCCATGTCGTGCGGAAACTGGAAAGAACTCCTTCCCCTTGCTGTAGGTTTGGATTAAGGAGGGAATGGCTTTCCATCGCACTACAAAGGATTAAAGTTAAAAATACATCAGAGCAAAAGAATTCACCTTTAAGTATGACAGTAATCCTACTCAGAGCAACTGAAACACTCTAAATTAAAAACTAAACCCACCTGCAGATTGACCGCATTGCCTCGGCTAAATCAAGACAAAAGCAGATCAGGAAAAGGCTCCTAACTCTAAACTGAAGTTAATTGAAAGGATGGTTTATTAACTGGTGTAAGGAGAGTGCTACTTGTATCTGTACAACTGCTCTGAGCTTGCAGGCCTGCCACCTAGGAGCCTTCAGAAGTCAGTCAGCGTAACTCCTGCTCAGCACAGCTTTGTAAAATTTAATGGAGCATGAGCTAAAACCTCAAGGGGCACAGCTCTCGTTAATAAAAACAAATTGCAATTTAAAAGTAAACTCTGCTGAACAAAGTGGAAACTACGACCGGTATAATTTAGATCCTGAACTACGTGGAGCTCTTTATTGCTCTCCTGCATTTCTTTGTTAGAGGCCTCTTCTCTAGCTTAAAAATAGAGAAAACAATCCATTTACATAAAAAAAAAAATCAGAAACTTTCTGATTGTTGAGCTAAATCAGTATCGCTGTAGTTCTTCTGCCACATGGCACTCAGCAGCTGCTCTGCTGCCTTAGCATGCCACTCTCAATCCTTCAGGCCCCTTAAATTGTCAGACTTTTTTTTTTTATATTAAATTTTATATAAATTAGGGAGTGAAACTCTCACTTTCAAGTGAGAAAAATCAGAATGATAGATTGACCATGAAGCATCATTAGAAAAAAAAAATGCAAGTTGCCTCAAACACTGTGTGGCTCCTTCTATCCTCCTCTCTATCTCGCTGGTTTCAGGAGGGTTTTATAGTAGGAAACTATCTCTCTGTTGGTGTATAAGAGACCTCAGTAAGAATAGGAAAGCGTTCTCATCACTTGATTTCAGTTATGCAGATTTTTAGCCATCTGCACAGCCCCACAACTTCTCGCTTGAGTGAGACTGCACACACCAGTGTTTACAGGATCATGCTCTGACAAGCACGGAGAGGAAATGGTGAAACTGCCTGCACACCCGGTGATGTCAAAGCAGAAGGTAAGCAGAAAAGAAAAACATTTTTCCCCCCCTTCTAATTGCTTTCAGTTACCAGATTCCTGGGTATCTCCTCCAGCAATATGAGAAGAAAACATTGCAGGGAAAACCAATTTGCAAATCAAAACTAATTGCATAAATGCTATTGGTTTTGGTGATAATAATTGACAAATGAGTTAGCAGAAAAAGGCCTCAGTTATGAATCTCTCTTCTAAGCTTGCACCACAGAAAAATTTCATGCCATGTCTTTTTTCTTCTTAAGAAGCACAGCCATAGATGAATAATTAGCCTGAACTCCCCTAGCTTACTGAAGTATTGCAGCATCATGGGCAGAAAATTTCAGAAATTGCCTGTTAAACAGCTTGCCTTTTTTGCTTTTAAAATATTTACTTTGCTCTAAAGCTATTTTAGCTTGTCCATAGCTGCAGGACTTAGTCATCTTCCTTGCACATTCTGATTTCCCAAGCAAAACAAAGGGTTCAAGAGAAGACAGCCACTGGTGAAAACAGCACTACTCACTCATTAAGCACTAACTAGTTAATACGTAACCACAGAAAGGTTAAATAAAGGTGCAACGTGATTGAAGTGAAAAGGTCACATGCTTGCTCATTAAATAGAAAAGGGTAGAGAGAAAACACTTTGGTATTTTGTATAGCAGCCCAATTAAAAGCAATGATATTCAAGATATTTTCCTTATGACAAATTACATCTCCTTGAGAAATGGTACCGCAGGGATGCATCCTACAGAAGAGCTTGTGCCACGTAGTGCAGGTGGCTGCTCCTGTTCCCAACACAATGTGGAAATTCACCTTTGGCTGCACTTGTGGGCACGCTGGGCTGTGCAGAGGGACAGGTCACCTGTGCTGGGCCACGGGAGAGCTCTGCCTCCCGGCAGAGAAAAGAAATCCCATCTGGGAACCTACTTTGGGCCTCTGCTTCCAGATCTGCAGCAACCGTGTGATAAGAAGCAGAAACCTTAAATCAGACACTGCTCTTCAAAAGGGAAGCTCACGGTTTTCAGAAAGAGTATTTATTTTCCATGGGGTCATATACAATGCAAAGATTGGGGAGGAAGGTCAGAAGTCATTCATCTTAACGAAATTTAGCTAAAACGTGGAAAAAAAAATACAAAGGGGGAGGAGTGAAACTGTGGAGGTCTGAAAAGGCAACTGCTCCAAAGGCATTATTTATTTACAGAGCAAACAGCCACAAGCTCACTTGCTTGTGCTGCTGTAGGCATCTGTTGTTTGTTATGCTAAATATAATATATTTCAGACATTTTAAACATGTTCACAAACAAGCTGGGTAGCGCACTGTTTATATGTCTGTGTGCCTCTCCCCAAGGAGAATTGCTGACTTCCTTGCCAAGCTAAACAATGTAACATTTATGAAGGTCAAATAACAGAAAGGAAGCTCCCTTCATTAAAGGGACACTATCAAAAAGGGTCATTTTCATGGGGCTGAGCTTCGGTCCGTGTGTATTGGGGTGGCAGCCCGTGTGACAAGCAGCTTTAAGCAAAATTTAGGAAGTTAGAAAGAATCTGCAGAACATCCAATACTTGACGTGAACAGAATTTGGACACTATTAAATTTAGTGTTTCAGGGCTCAAAGCAATCTCTCTGACGAGCGGGGTGACCTGATGAGTGGGAAAGATCTTCCACTCTGCTCTCAGGGAGTATTTTGCATGATTTCTGTAGATTTGTTGGTTTCAACTCTTCTGTTTGCTCCATTTAGATAACAACCCTGTCCAGATAGCTTTATTTTCCCCTGCAGTGAAGGCAACGCACGTTTTGACGCAAATGGAAGAAACCCAATGAGACAGAACTCCGTGTTTTTTCTGATATAAAACCCCAGAGGTTGCAATTCATCACCATTACTAGACAGTATTAAAAACCATGAATTTAAATAAATGCAGTATGAGAGCAAGTATTCAAAACAACGTTGCTATCTTCTTCCAAATATATGAAAAAAGCAGTACTGGAGAGTACTGCTGCATGTTTAAGCTCAGTCCCATGTTCTGTTGTGTTCATCAGCAATTCAAGGGTTTCTGTGAGAGAATGAGTCTCTCTGAAACTAGCGAGTCTCATCCAAATCACAGAATGGGTTAGGTGGGAAAGGACCTTAAAACCCACCTGGTTCCAGCCCCCTGCCATGGGCAGGGACACCTCGCACCAGACCATCTTACTGAAAGCATGTTAGGCCAGTGTGTGATACTAGCATTTCACATTTCACCCCATTTTCCCTTTGGCTTCATGATAAATGGCAGAATATAGATATATTTTTGTGTCTGTAACAGAAAATGAGTTATTTTTTAAAAAAAATCCACCATAAAATGAGAATTTCGATTAGAAAAAGTCATTTATTTCCCCTTACATTTGACCTATCTAAAGAGATTCTGCTAAATTCTAAGATTTGATCTGATAATACTAGGACAAATTTGGTATTACCTGCTCTGAGGAACAAGCAAGCAAGTTGAATCATAAAAATCTCAGAGCAATAAGCACATTAGTAAAGATATATTATACACATACATCATTTCCAATAATTCTCTTTGCTTTGTAAATACCTTTCACTTTCAGCAGTCTGCATCGTTTCCAGCTTCGAGTGAGCTCCTCTGTTGAATCCCTTCACCTCTTGCTCCTCTAAAGATTCCAGCAGTCTAATTACATCTTTATTTACACCCCTTCGTTTTGCAAGGACAAGCGGTGTCGCACCTTGGTGATTGCTAAAGTAATGCCATGAATGGGCACGAGAAGAAAAGAAAATCTTAAAACAGAAATTTTGTAGCAAGATCACATAACACACAGTGTAAAATTCACTACCCAGAACTATTTTCTGTCATTTCCATCTATAAAAGTGATACCATAATTGACTATAGAAGAGAATTGGTATATTTAGGTTTGAAATAGCACAACTCCTTTTCCTCCAAATAAAATCAAAATTCCTAGTGTTCTAATTTAATTGCAAACCCTGGGTATTGTAACAAAAAGCATGGATTTATGGCAATGCTGGAGATGAAGCTTGATTTCAAGAAGGAATTGTGCAATCTGTTTCTTCATAGCTCCTTTTTCCATGTGGGTATGAGGACATGAGGCAAAAATGAAATAAAATACAGATGGTCCCTCTGCTTCTTTTAAATACTGACTAGGACCAGAGCTGCATTCAGACTAGGGATTTTCACCAGAGTTGCTCGAAGCAAGAAAAAAACAAAACCAACAAAACACAACCCATGAAGAATCTGGTCTGCCAATAACTAGCTGAAAGCACTAATGAGGGACAAGTGAAAAGGGAACAGATAAAAAAAAAAACCCTCAAAGGTTCTGAAGTTTCACAAACTTTTTTGCATGCCCTGTAAATATGCAGAAAGTTCCACAAACAAAATAATTCAGTTAGTGCAGCGAAACAGCTCGCTGTTTTGTAGCTGGAGAGCTTGCATCTGAGCACTGGCATCCGCCAGCTGCTGGAAGCCAGAAGGAAAGAAAATACAATATTTAAAAAGAACAATATTTAAAAGGAGGGTTGAGTCACACATTTTGAGGGTTTGAAACCACTGAAAGGAAGCATTGTCACCAAGGGGTATGGGAATGAACTGGTACACATCTACTGTATTTTCTTTGTCGTATACAGTGCAACAGTTGAAACAATAGAACTGCGGCGGAGAAAATTCTTTTCAAGCAGTTGATGCGATTTTCTTCTTTGGTGCCAACCACCCACACCTGGCTGTCTGGCCAAACCAGGATAGCAATGTCATCACTGAGTCAGAATTAGACACAGCAGCCCACACCAGCAGCTGCTATTTTTATTTGCTTCGCTTGCTGCGCTCGGCCAGCAGGAATGGCCTCTCATTGTTTGCCTGCCTTTTTATTTCGTGTCTTCATTAAGTGATATCTTAATAAAAAAAAAAAAAAAAAGAATTGTACTGCATATAGCATTGCAGCCACAGCAGTTTTGTACACAATGCTTTGGGAACAGAACACATATTATAAAATACATGCTGTTTAAAAAAAAAAAAAGAGAAAAGCAACTTACCAAATATCAATTTTAAGTCCATTAGAAACTAGGAACTGGATGGTGTCCACGTGCCCACACAGGTGCAGGGCTGTGTTACCCTGGTAATCGGTGGCTAGCAGGTCAGCCCCAAATTTGTGCAGGAGTTGACAGATGTCTACGTTTCCTCTGGCTGCAGCAAGGTGAAGGCCAGTCCGGCCCCGGCTGTCACGAATATTTGGGTCAAACCCACTCTCCAGCAGGCGTTTGGAATAGTTAAAATCTCCATCAATGCAAGCCTGCAGCAGCGGCACGTTTGTCTGGGATGAGTCGTTGACGAAAACGTAGGACATGGTTCTGATTCTCTCTGGAGGAGATGACAAACCTGCAAGAACAAATGGGGAAAGTGTCGGGGAAGCCAGGCAAATAAATACATTTTAAAATTTAAAAATTCATTTGGAAGATTTCTCAGGTTCCTGAATGAGAACGCAAACTCATTTTTGAACTGACTGAAATCTTCCTGTCCTACCTATTAATTTCACGTGCTACATTCCTGTCTGGTAATATGGGAAGAGCTCTTTTTACTCATCCTCCTACCTCTGGAAACTGTAGCACAGACTTATTACAGAGAAGTGATAAGATCACTACCACAAATGCAAGCCAGGTGAGTAACTTTCACCTAGGAAGAGATGGCAGGTGGTAGAATTGATATTAAAAGTATAAAACACTGGAGATTTGAACTGAAAGAAGGGAGATGCACCACCTTTCAAAAACCCCACCACGGAGAAGCACAAATGCAGTTTCTCTGGATTAATATTACATAAAAGATTAATTCCTTTTCTGTATCAGGAAGATGGATGTCATTTCAGAATGGATTTATTGACATTTTATAAAACATGACTTAGGTTTTGCAGAAGAGTATTTTAAGGATGATTCAAATAACGAGGGTATGATGACACTGGATTTATGGGACACAGAAAAGACGACTTGAAAACAGTAAGGAAAAGAAAAAGGAATGACTATGCAAGAGGATGGGAACATCGTGCACGAGACAACAATAAGAAAAAATGAAAACATCTAGGAGGCTGGGCAGCAAAGCTTCATGTTGCCTCTAAGAAAAAAAAATCACTTATAAACTAGTGAAAACCCTTTGAAGGAATCTCCATAAAGCCACCACACAGTTCAAGTGACAGGAAGGAAGAGCAATTTTACTAGATAACCTTTGAGCAGAAGATGAAATTTCGCATGAAAAACGATTTCCCACTTGACCAAGGCTGGCATTTTGGGTGAAGGGTGCAGCTGTGTTCTGGCTAGCAGCACGAGCCTCTTACAAGGCCGCTATATGCAGATTTACATTTTCTCATCTATATAAGGTCTCCTTCTACACCAGTGCACTCATTCAGCTACGAGAACGGAAACATGGCCAGCAGCCAGAGAATTCGATTTAAAACCTCTCTTTTATTTTCTTTTTAGAGTTTATAAAGCCTGGATTTTACAGCTCTTCCCCCACGTGTTAGATCAAACTCAAGATCAGAGCACCTACAGGAGTCATTTCACGTTTATACAACTGGCCTGATTAACAGCTTTGGGGCTGGCGGGGGTTAATAATTTATATTTAAACTTTAATAGCTTGTATTTCCTATCTGGACAAACTCTGCTCCACGTATCAGCACTGCCCAGTTTCCCTGTGCAGGAATGCACAACTTTTTTTTTCCTGTCTTGGACACAGAAGAGATGGGAATTAACTTCTACGTCCTGGTATCTGTATAAGGAATGATTTTAGACAGAGCACATTCCCCTAGGCTCTAAGGGTGGTTTTGAGCATGCGGTGGTGTATCGCTGGCCCAAGCACCCTTTCCCACAACCATCTCCAATAGCAAAAGTTCACCAGCACAGCATAAAACATTTCATGCAAGCAGAGTGTTATTTCAGACACACACAGATTTCTTACAATCCTACAGAGAAAGAAGGGCCAACATACCTGTATTTTCAACGAGTATGTTACAAAACCTTGGCTGTTGCAAAGCTAGGCTTCCCACTTGGCAGCAATTTCAATTTTCTCGCCCACTTTCTACCCAAATCATAAATGACATGAGTGCTTCTTCAACTCCGATAGTCCAGTCCTTGCTGAGAAAAAAAATCAGGCCCAATTTTTGTATGATGTGACTGACACCTTTACGTTCTGCACTTAATCTCCCCTAAAGCAGCAAAACCATAAATAACTCGAAACCTCCAACGCTCGAGCATAGTAACAGCATAAAGCCCTCCTTGTACTTGATAAAAAGATCACCGCTTGCTTATGAAGTGGTATTTGAGTGCTTAATCCTGCTTAATAAAAAAAAAAAAAGGCCTAGCATAAATCAACAGCAGAATATTAGCCTGGAAGCAAAGCATGCTATTTGAGAAACTTGATGGGATACTCTGTTAAATGTAAACTTCGGTTTATGTTTTCGTACCAGATGTGTGGGCCTGGTAAAGCCCTGCAGAATTTCCTGTCACTTCTCATACAACGGTGACGAAACAGCAGCTAACGGCAGCAGAACAAACCTCCACCACCTTGTCTTCTCGGGAGAGGAAGCAGGAAGATTAGCAGGTATTATGAGGTTTAACTGAAAATATTTCCAATTTGGAATTTATCATCACTGAAATGTTCTAGAATTCATCACTGAAGTGCACAAGACTAAAACAAAACCTTAGTAATTTACTTTAAGAAAGAATTATAAAGCAACAACAAATCCTCCTTCCTAATGCTTGAAGGCTGCGGACTAAACAAACGCATTCACAAGGAATCGGTACCATCTGGGTCGATTTAGCTTTGTGATTAAAAAAGGTTTTTGCACACACACGATTCTGTTTTACACATGGCTGCCTAATACATGCCAGATAGGAGCTGCACACGAAGATGAACTGCACCGTCTTTAAAATGCCAGTCCCCAAATAATGTAGTCCTGCCTCAAATGTAATCTGATTTTGCAAAATTTCCTAAAAAGGCTCAGAAAAAAAATTACAACAGTCGACTTAATTAGAAATTTCTGAATGAGCAAACTGGTTACATTTAAATCCCCAGTATGTATAAAAACGTTCTTATTGCAATGAGTATCTAATTAAGTGTATTTAGAAAAAAAATCCAAAGCATCCCATCCATTCTCTTCACATTGCTTCTGAAGGTGAGGCAGAAAGAAGCCTGCATCACCCCAGAAGCTGGTGCACCTCCCATCAGGCACTAATGTCACAAAGGGCCTCACATTACTCGGTAAGGAGACACTAAACATTGCAAAAGGAGCGGCCTGAATAGCCCTACAAATTACTGCTGCTGGAGTTAAATTAATTTGGCTCAGTAAAGGACTGCTCCTAAAACTGCAGCGCTACCTTCTGAAAACTTATCTTTTACATTGCACTCTTAGGAAAAAAAAGTTTCACTGTTAATAACTTGTCACTGTGACAGCAAATTAGCTTGGAGAAAAAAAAATCAAGTATGTTCTCCCAAGCAAGAGGAATTTCTGTTAGGAAAGTGTAATATAAGAATACATTTTCCCTTAATTTACCCAACATGGATGTTGCCCGAGCACTGTATAATTTTATTAATGATTTTAGACATTTTGCAGTAAGCCAGTTCTTCAGTGATACATACAGTTTAGTACAGGCTCAGGAAATCAAACGGTTCTGTTTTCAACAGGAATGCTTGTATTAAGTGATAATAATTCACTTTTATCTATTAAAAGTCAGCTGTCTACCCCCTAGAGCTGTGGTACACACATTGTCTAACTTGCTCAAACCTGTGGAAGCCAAAGCCAGGAGTCATCTTGAAGAATTCAAAACCTAGAGCTAGATGTGAGTTTTGTTACTGCTTAAACTACCCCCCGATTTGCACCAACCATGTATGGTTTTATTTTACAGTGAATGTGTGGTTTTGCCTCTGCCTTCTCACCAAGTTCAACAGTCACCAAAGAGCTCCTGGAAAGGGAGCCAGATTGCTTATGAGACAGATTCACTAACGGGAGCGGAGTCTCTCCACCACAGAAATATTGGTGGGCTTGATGAGCTGCAGTTCCTCACACAGGCACTGCTCCATGACTTACCAGCTCTGCAAAATGACAGAATTTCCAAGAACGTTCAGAAAAACTGACGTGAGGGTTGCTGTTCTTAATTAACGCCTCGGATCGATGGCACACCATCAGATCACACAACAGCTGAGACTTCCCCATACTGAGAGACATGTCGACATCTAGAACCCAAACATCAGCCAGATTTCCTCCAGAGGAACTGCCACCAACAATAAATGGAAACCTAAAACAAAATCAGGGACCAAACCCACCTCCCCCAGCAAAACACAGCACGCAACCTGCACTGCCAGCTCCCTGATGGCAGGCAGCTTCCTCTTTTTGTAATGCATTACAAAGTGGCAGTGGCTCGCTGAGCTCTTCCTCTCATTTTTGTATGAATGAGAAAGGGCCCAGCTCGAGTGCTTTGCTTCAACTGTCAGCCCCCACTCTCTGAAGGCAAAGTTTCCCCTCAAATAGAACAGTAACCTTAAAAATTACACAAACTGTTCTTGGGGATACATGGTAACATTTTTTAAAAAGATGTGATTTAATCGTAACAACAACAAAACTGAGTACCTTGCTCGAGTATCCTCTGAATTGCTCATGTATCCGGGTGAACTGTAAGCCCAACAATATTGTTCTGATTCCTTTTCTGGGAAGGCTGGGGGAGAAAATCCTTGCTAAGCTTTCATGCACACCTGTTTTTACACGGAAGCTAAGACACAAGTCACTTAACTGAATAAATGTAAAAAAATGTAAAAAAAAATGTAAAATAGTAAAAAAAAAATCATCTGATCAATTACCAGCATTTTTTAGGAAAAGCCACCGTTATCTATATCGAGCTCCACCAACAGCTCTGTATCTTCTCCTAAAGATCTTCAGCTGTTCAGTCCAAGTGGGTTAGAGTTTTATTTCTCCACTAACAGGGATCTGCTGCAAAAAGCAGCAGAGCAGATCAGTACAGCATTACGTGGCATTTTCCCTTCTTTAGTTATTTTTTCAGAAGTTCCTACACTTCAGGTATCACAGCAGGCTCTTAAGACCTACCTCTCCTTTTTCTCTTTCTAGCCAGGGCACGTGGAGATGCAAGAGAAGAATGGAAAAAATAACAGAATCATTGCTTTTGTACGGATCAGTAGATAATGGCATTAAAACCTGAGAACTTTGCTCGTCATTGTACAGTACGTCAACAGTAAGAGATAAAATATAAACAGGAGCTCAAATGCCAATTCAGGGCTGTAAAACGCCTCCCCCGATAACACAGAACAGTCATTGTGTATCGATGCACACGGGATAAGGGAGCGATAGGGAAGAGCTCGTTCTTTCCAAATACCTTTATCGACAAGCAGATTCACAGATGTCTTTTCCTTTCTGGACTCAACTGGCAGTTCAATTGCGTTACACGTCTCAGTGCACTCCTATCAAATGCGCTGTTAAGTATTTCTGAACCTTGCTCATTTTTTTCTTTTTATCTTCTGTGGAAGAACTATTCAATTCATAGTAGTTAGAAACAGATGTGCTATAACTCTAACACTCCACAACCACCTCAGGTCAATCAATAAAGCAACTTCAGTATTTCCTTGATCCTTGTGGTCGGTACACCTGCTTTTATAGGAAGTCACTGAATCCCTCACATTGGTCATAATTATCAACTTCTCCAAAAACCTTTATCCAAATCCCTTCTTTGGTTCTGCTGGGAACATGGGGTGCTAATGTAGGTCAATCACGAAAATCTTAAAATTCATCGCAGTTTTTTCTTAATTTTTTTTAAACAAACTAGAGAGAATTCGTTCCACTCACACCAAAGTTTATATTTGTTGCAGATCTTGAAAGAGTCTTCTGGAACAGAAAGCAGCTCTGACTGAGCACCAAGACACCGTTAACAAGTGAACTAGCTGCAAGCTGCAGATGTGCGAGCACCACTTTTATCTAGAAGAATACTGCCACCGTGTGGAACGACAGATTCCTCTTCGACTGTAGTAAGCGATATGGTAATTCTAGACCCACACCGACTACTTTTTCTAGATTTTATGGCGTTTTCTGATTTCCTGAGAAGAAAAAACAGAATCACATAGAAGTTGAGGCTGGCAGGGACCTCTGGAGGCCATCTGGTCAGTCCCTCTGCGCAAGCAGGGACACCCAGAGCTGCTTGCCCAGGACCAAGTCCAGGTGGCTTCTGAAGAGAGAGAGAGATTGAAGAGAAATGATGGAAGGCCTGAAAACTTGATAAAAATGAATTCTGAAATCCAAACTGTTGTTCCTGTGTCACACAGACAGCAAATCTTTGTTTAGCACTGATCTTATATTAGTAAAACGAGGACTTCAGCATAAATCTTGATTTCTGAAGATAAAGGGTTTTTTTTCCTGCATTTATGCCTGTTCCATGAAGAAAAAAAAGTCCTTACAGAGACACACAATAACTCTGACAATGGCAGGTTTGACAGGTTCACTAAAATGGGAAACCTCCCGCCTCCAGCAGGAATTGCCAGAAGCCACAGCTTCACCAGCTTCATTCCAGCAACAAAGCAAACTGACAATCGAGAAGCTGCCACTAAACCACTTACTATTATATAGTCTATATTCTCTTATTTTATTTCTTATAAAATAAAATTATTTTATTTATCCTGTGTGTATTAGCAATATGTAACCTTGGAGGACGTGACCTTTGTAATGCATGCATCACCAAATCCATCTGAATGGCTAGTGAACAGAAGCAGGTCATGTTAAAGAGCAGAAGTCTCCTAACTTTGTACATCATTTATATATAACAGATTATTTGAATCTCCTTCTAAAATACTCTATTGTGCTGCTTGTTCACTACAGCTTATACTTTTGTATCAACAACTAATACCAGTGACAAGCCAAGTTGCTTTCAGATACGTAACTCTTGCTATAACTCTGGATACAGACATTTCTGCTTCGAATTTTCATGTTCACACAGTAAATCAAAAAAAAAAACCAAAAAAACAAACAAACAATTTATCAAAGCTAAATTGTTAACTGATGTATTTACTTGTTTCCACGTATTCTATATCTCCATCAATACAGTATGTTTTTTTTCTATGTTCTTTCTGAGATGGGGGACGGAGGCTGTGGAACCGCACCCAGTCTTTGAGGTTAATCTGAACCACAGATTAACACAATCACAGAAAAAGATTTTTTGTTTGTTTTTATATTTTTCCCCAATAACAGTTACTATTTGATTTACCTTTCTGTCTGCATTATCTATGGGCACATTTTAATGGAACCATTTTCCATAATTACAAACTATTGCTCATTACTGAAAGCCCACGATTTCACAGAGGGCTCAGGAATCTTTTTTACCCTACCTATTTAAATTGCTCTACATACCTGCACTGGATTTCCTGTGTATTGTCTGATATTGTCTGCTTACTGAGTTTTACAGGGTCAATCTGCAGTTTTTCACAGCTGACCTTATCTTTACTGCTCCTGTCATCAGCAAACGCTATCACCTTGTTGCTCACTGCCTTTTCTACGCCAAGTTTAGAACCCAGAACAGAACCCTGCAAAACTAAACCCCTTCCACTGAAAAGACTGATCCTAAGTTCATAAAAATGCCCACCCAGATCCAGCCCACCCAGCACTCTGCTTTTAACAGTGGCAACCAGAGAAACCTCTTGGTGAGAGGCTTCTCCAAGAAGCTTTTTCTTGAGTGGCAGCTGCCACTTTGGTCATGAGTTCAGCACTATGTAAACACAATTCAGATTATTCTACTCAAGCCATCACCTTACCTTTATGCACACTGAAGCTCATGTGTCCCCCTTTTGCCACCTTCCTTGCTTTGGGAATTTATTTTTGCTTCTTTTTAAAATTTTCAACACAACCATTTCTGCACATAAAGAGACTTTTTTTTTTGCTCTAAGTGACTACTATCCTTAAAAGTTTCTGATATTTTTTTTAACGCTTCCTGAAAACCCCAGTAACATATAAAGCCCATCACCTGCATCTACAATGCTCCTCAGTACTCCACAGCAGAAGATAACTAGCCTTAAACAGATCAAACCTCTAAAAATGTGTCTGCTCTCAGGCAAAACCATCCCCTAACAAATGAGGGCACAGCAAGGATGGGCATACATCTCTCTCTGCACTTCTCTGGTGAAGAAGTAAGGCAAGCATTCTAGACCACCCATGGGAAAACAAGAAACCAGAAGCCTTCCCTGAAGCCTGTGGCTGCCCTTTATCCCCACGCATTATGCTGGAATATGATACCATCAACACAATTAAAACATTTATTTCTTTATGTTGTAAAATTCTAGTGATGTAGCTGTATTAACTGGATGGGAGAAATGTGTTGAGCTGGTGTTTCCACAGCTCTGTTCCACTTAAGATTCTGGTTTTAATTATACAGCTACACTACTTTTCCAAGTGGCATTTCTGTCTTTTACTCTGCTGATAATATTTCAAATGACTAAGCCCTACAGTACACATATGGCTTCTGTGAGGTACTGCATGAGATCAGAGTAAAACTTGTTCCCCACCTACTTAGAAAACATTACCTTTAAGTGGTAAAACAAATGAAAACCACCCTGAAACACTTAGTGAGCATCATCGTTAAACAGCAAAGCAAACCTGAGCATTTCAGCATTTGTGATATTTGACATAAATGGCAGCAGAATGTCAGTAAGTGACAAATAATTACCAACAACTGCAGTTTGGTTGCACTCAAGGCACGTTTGTCAGCTGGTCACCTACACTGATGGCACACTATGAATGGTCTCACACAAAGCTGACTGCATCTGGGATCCTGTATTTCATAAAAAGTGTATAGAGAAACGCCCTCTGAAATACTTTATGTCCACATGAACTGACACATCTGGAAGCGGAGCACAAGTGAGACCATGGGGGAGACAACCAACAGCTGGAATGCAGCAGTCAGCTTAAGGCATCACTTGGAATCCCTCTCTTGCTGATGAGGCAACTCTAACATGTAAGATACCAAAACCTGCTGAGAGAAAACCTATTGCTCCTCGGGAAGGAAGACAGCAGATGCAGACACCATGCTTCAGGCTTTGACTCATCTCAGCTTACTCTCTGATACTATCTTCAAAACTCAAAAAGAAGGCAATCAGCCCGTGACGTTTTCTGACTGTCAATTGTACTAGACAGAATGCAAACATTAGTAGAAATATTTCTTCTAAAAATCACATTTAACAAGTCCTAGTTAATAAAATATTTTACAAACAAAACAAAGAAGAAAAACAGACCTAATACCTACAGATAACACTAAGCTTAGCCCCCTCCTGCAGCAAGCAAAACCAATTACTTTTACAAACCAGTCACTTTCCAGCTAAAATACTTGTTGGGTTCTTGCTCCTCCTTGATCTTTGGGAAGGATGCTCCTAAACATCAGTGCTCTGATGGCTAGAAATGCTCACATATTATTCATCGTACAATCTATGTTAAATTATTCATGTATCAACACCATTCTTAAGCTCAGTTTATTCCCTTTACCATGTTTACCTTGATGTTTCAATAGAAAGCAAAAAAGGCCTCTGCTCTGCAAAGATAAAGAGGCCAAATATTTCTTTCAATATAGACTCTTCATTTTGCTGCCTGTCTTAGGCTTATCTTTACCTGTTCTACTTCACCTGTTCACGTGAAAACATTTAGCAGTGTATGAAACATTCTAGCGTTTTGTTCACAGATAACAGTAACTTCTTTTTCCTGTTCATCACAGGTCTGCATTTGCTTTTTTCCACAATCACATATTCTGAAACTACCCAATACATATTTTGGATTTGCGTTGCTTTAAAATGATAAGAATTTCTCTGTAAATAGTGTTTGCAACTGCAAAACCTTGTCCTTTAAATTACTGCATTTTATTTAAGTTATTATTATGCTTATTTCATCCTCTAGTCCCTGAGATCATCCATTTTTTCCTGCATAGCAGTTACCCTCTTCTATATTGCCAGTGCCTCCCAGCTTGTTCATCACTATCAAATTTAAACAGTAGGTTTTAATTGTTACATCATCGTCTTTATTAAGTATTTAACAAGACTGATCTCAAGATGGATCTTCAAATAACTAATTTTATAAGCTCCTTTTATACCCAGACTCGACGGTTTTCTTCTCAATGTTACTCACCACGAGTTGTCTCTAGTTAGTTCCTCATCCTCTCTTTAATTCTGGAGTTATCCCTAGCTTTTCAGCACAATTTCCTGTGCAGCAGCTGATCAAAACTTTTACTGCTGTCTAGAAAACAAACAAACAAAAAAAGACAACTACTTAATTTCCCTTAAAAACAGTAATTACTTCATCGAAGGCAACCTGAGGCTGGCTAACAAAAAACACATCTGGCAGAAACATGTTAGTTTTTGATTTCATTTATCACAGGATCATTGGGGTTGAAAGAGACCTCCAAGATCACCTGGTCCAACCACCCCCTGCCACCAGTGTCACCACTGAACCATGTCCCCAAGCACCACATCCAACCTCTCCTTGAGCACCCCCAGGGACGGTGACTCCACCACCTCCCGGGGCAACTCGTCCCAGTGCCTGACTGCTCCTTCTGACAGAAATGTCTCCTCATTTCCAGCCTGAACCTCCCCTGGTGCAACTTGAGGCCATTCCCTCCAGCCCTATCAATAATTATCTGTGAGAAGAGGCCGACCCCAGCTCCCCACACCTTCCCTTCAGGTACCTGCAGGGAGCAGCGAGCTCTCCCCTCACACCCCCGGCTCCCTCACACCGCCCCTCCATTCCCCTGCCACCCCAGCGTCCCCTCCCCACCGCCCGGCGCCCACCCGGGCGGATCCCTCCCCGGACAGACCGACGGACACCGCGGTCCCCCTCCAGCCCCCTGACCGACGGACACGGCCCCTTTCCCCCCTCAGGCCCCACCGCAGCCCCCTCGCTACCTGCCCTGCCGGCCGCCGGCCGCTCCTGGGCACGCAGCGGGGGCGGCGGAGGGGGCGCGGGCGGCCCCTGCCGGCCGGAGGCCGCCACTGGGGTTGCAGCGGGAAATGGCGGCCGTGACGGGGCGGCCGGGGGGAGGCACCATGACTGCCTTCATCCCGCTGCCTCAGGGCCACTCACGCCTGTCAC